GAAATTAAGAATCTAAAGATCGGGTAAAAACGACTTAGTTTGTTCTTTAGACTGCGAATGTTTCTTTGTGTATATCGATGTGTCACTTGTGCTTACTTCTTCAATGAGCTGCAATTCTCGATTCTCTTCAACTTTCTGTTCTTGTCGTTTAGTCATATCTGCTATAGACGCAAAGTTTTTATTTAGTTTTATTGACCATGGCGCKGGGYTGACTTCCTTTRCCTTGGAAAATGGAGAAGTAAAAATCTTTTCTTTGCTGTTTGATTGTTTGTTTATCGTAGATACATTTTTGGATGCCTTAATGTTTTCACAGTGCTCCTTGAAAATAATTGAATTTTCTCTCTCTGCTTTGCTTTTCGGGTCAGTTTCTAAACGTTTCTTTTCTGAGTACTTTTCTGTTGAACACGCTGGCATTTTATCGTTAATCCAGCTGTTTAAAAGTTGTTTATCTTTTAGTACCATCCATTTTTCGCGCAAAGAGYGCATTTTCTCTTTCTCTGCATTAAGAAGCAGCGTGTTCCATCTTTCGTCTTTGTTCGGTGTCGAATCTTGTTCTTTTTTAGCGTACAGCCACGCTGCGCCCCACCGACGACACTCGGCACGCAGGCCAGCAGACTTACAGCTTTGGTGAAACTTTTTCACTTCCTTTTCACTCAAGTAAGGGAAGTTTATCGAGCTTTCGTCCTCAAGCTCATTMATCGATCGTGCTTTTTCTTTCTTTGTCTTATTGTCTGTTTTGGCCTTCCTTCGACGACGTCTTGAAACGCTCTCAAYTTTGGGATCAAACGCGATTGAAGCTGATCCTCCGAGGGCCTCTCCGTGAAGTGGGAAATCATTTTTCTTGCCTTTTTCCTGTGATTTTGATGACTGTTTCTTCGCCTTGMAAGCTGATGAACTTTTCCTTCGTCGAAGTTGCTTCTCTCTCTCAAACCGTTGTCTRTCTTTCTGTAAATTGTCGAGCTCTTTCTCGACTTTCTTCTGTTCTTCCAAGTGTGTGTTGTACTTTCGTCGTCKTCTTCTTTCGAGGTCAGCACTAAACTGGCGATACTTTTGCTCCTCGACTTGGCTTGTTAGACTGAGCCATTCGCAAGCTTCTCTACGTTCGCTTGCTACGTTTACAACCAAAGACAGCAACTTTTCGTCCATTATTGTGCAATTGTCAACAACCCAATTAATGTCGTAATAGATCTTTGATATTTTAAACGGTTTTTAACAGCAAAACTTTACTCTATTTGCGAAGATAAACGACTTCACACTTCCCTCACGATATCTGAACTGCTTGCTATTGAAGTTTGATTGTCCACATGTTTGGTTGCTAAGAAAAGAAAACAATTTCATCACGCAAAACTAAGCGAATAGAGCTTCCTATTAGTCTCAAGGGACCAACACGCAGCAACCACTTGAGAGGACAATGACCTTATTGATCATAGTGCTTAGTTATTTGTAAAGAAAAGGCATCGATCTATGCAAATGAACACTAGACTCACTAAMCAGGCAATTAATTAACATTTCGGAGCAAACATAGCTTTAGATAAAGCGCTGTTTGCCTTTTTTTCATGGAAGTGCGACGACACTGTTGTGCGCTTCCTGACTTGAAAAAAGCCGCAAAACTGATTTTTTTTTAAAGCTTTATGTACAATTAAGTTCCATATTTACACGCGATTTTCATAATGAAATTTTATCACATTTAATGTGGTAAAAGATATAAAGCTGTAAATGTGTATTAAGAAAACCAGCTGTGAAAGCTTTTCTGGAAACATCTCATGTGACTGTTCAAAAATCTCTCTCTCTCTAAATATATATAGCATTTTCCTTTAATGAAATCTTCATTTTGTATGGACTTTTGGCTTACATTCTTYGGTACCTCGAATATACTTGACACTGATTTTAACAATTAAATATTGAATTAATGGTTGAAAGCAACTACCATGTGTTTTACCCAGACAAGGTGGTTTCCATTACAACTACAATAAATACCCACCCCCTCCYTAGTACTGTATAATGTTTAACACTAGGCGATATTAGCGAGTAGTTGCATGCAATTTTTGATTCTCAGTAATCTTGTCCTTTGCTTGGCTTCGTATTTTTCTTCGTTCGTGTTTTCACAATTGGTATTTCTTTCTGGAGGAAATGGGACAGAGAGGAATTGTCCGATCGCGCTTTTCACGACAAATTCGGGCGTTTCGCTWACCATTCGCACTTCTCTATGACTGTCCTCTGGTTCAATTTTCGCGTTTTTGTTTTTCACTTTGGCATACATGATAATAAAATCTCTTATAGCATCGTCCTTACTTTTTCCCGACATTTTGGCTTTTTCTTTCCTGGTTTCTGGACAGCTGTACGCTGTGTTGCTGCGCTTTTTTGTTTGTTTTGGGACCAAACTCGGACGCCAGACATTTACCGATAAGGGTCGGATCGTCTTTGTTTCTTCAGTTTCTACTTTATTCTTATTWTTCRATGTTTTATAAGTTGTTTTTGCAGAATCGCACGTGTTAAATAACCGAGCAGATTGATTGCACCKATTTTTAAGAATTCCTTTTCTTTTTCCTGTATCGTGCGCGTTGCTAGTGGAAACAAAAAGTGAGTKATGATCCACGTTCTCGTCTATATTCGAAGGYATTTYGTATTCAAACTCAGATTTRAAWGACTCTGCGGATTCGCTGTAWACAGACTTCTCGGSCTCAAATTCAGAGASAGAYTTATCTGAGTGCAGGCTACTTTCTTCAGCAATGTCTGAGAATGTTTCATTTTCATTGAGGACTTTAATTCCCCCCTTCGCGGACTTGAACAAGCACAAWGTACTCTTGCGCCTTTGAAGTATTTTCTGCATTGAWTCTTTCAAAGACTGGTCGCTTAAACCCGACACAAAATCTGTTTCTTGTTCAATCTTTACRCTGACCTTTTCTTCATTTTGAATTGATTCACTTGAGTTTTGACTCTGCCTTTCCTTATTATGAGATGAASCTGAAGTGTTACTGATCAAAGATGAGGTGTTGGATGCGCGACGCATTTTTCGTCGCTGCCTACGATTTTCTTCGCTAAAAATATCAAMAATGTCATCATTGCCACTACTAAGCGACTCCACATCTGTGCTATTTTGAAGATGTCGACTRTAAACGATGTTACGGCTAATTGGTGTTTGCGCAGTTAAATCCTTTTCTGTGTCAAACACTTCTTCSTCGTTCTTTAAAAAGACGTATTCAAGATCTTGYTCTTGTTCATGAGTGTATAACTTTTTCCCTTTATTRAATGATAGCATCGAGTTGAAGTTGGGTTCATTTTCAGTCAAGTTTTCTTTYTCCTTTYGATGATATCCATGCTYCAGARCGCGACAAAAAGATTTTTTCGGCTTCGTTTTCATTGCTTCCACCTGCTGGTGTAGACTTTTCCTAAGCGATTCGATGCTCGCACTAGAGACCGCTGATTTCCTTGGATAAAGACAGTTCTGATGATTCAGAACACGAACAACGTTCTCTCGAGTACAATTCTGGCTTTTAATGTCAAKCTTCTTTTCTTTGGACAAAGTAGAAAGCGTTTGGAGCACGGCTCCGAGAGTAAAGTTATCACCATCTTGCAGATTKTTTGGCTTGCTACAAAGATGAATCATTTGCTTGTCGATCAGTGTCGGATGGCTTCACGATTACAAATCAGTTGAATTCAGATTATTCAACTTGCGAATAGCAATAACTATAAGCTTTTAGAAAAGCCATTTCGTATTGTAATGTTTACTTTTGCTATCAAAAAGATCGATATATCAYKMYAKAKATATCATACAATGTACAACTTGATRTCTCAWCACCACAAACGAAGCCCTTACCGGCTTGACAACATGAAAAAGGAATGGATTTTCACGAATTGATCGATTGCGTWGTAAAACTCCCTTTAAACCGGTCTTGTTCCTTTTCTTTCTCAATAAACGCGTCGGAGTTATCATTCAAAGAGTGTTTACGCTCGACAAACAATCTTTTGAAGGCCTTAAGGTTGTTTTGTTAGTGATTACCTGCTAATTGTAGCTCATTTACAGTTGRTTGCGCGCATGTGTGTAGATATATAATTCTGCTATTCAATTGGACTCTTAGTAAAAGATCGCGTCAAAAGAAAACTAATCCTGTAGGCATCTCTGACGTTAATGACCGGACCGACCCATGTCGTTGTTGTTTTATATCACCAGAATAACTATAAGAAATCATTATATCATGCAAATAAAATCATGCCACATAACATCAAACCAACTGACGAAAAATTACAAATGATGAATAAATTGCTTTGATAGTTATATTTTATGCCAAAGTATCCGTGCTTCACGACAAAAAAGGCGCCCAAATTTGCCTTTCCGTTACTATGGTAACGTCAGCAAGTTATTTCACCTACTTTTTTACGGTGTTAAATTWATCTTTTTGCCCAACTGTTTCTTTAGAAACACCAACATAGCTCACACTAGTTTACCGCTAGTTCCCACCAACGCTAAAAGAAGACAGATTTGACAAGTACCAAATGCTCTCTAGAACCGCCATTTGAACACCCGAGATCAAATAGCTATAATTGATTGAATTAGGGCACCCAAATAAAATCAAAATGTATAGAGAGAATAGTACATTGCTGGAAAATATTATATTGTGCACGCTCGAGAATTTTAAATTTTGAAGTTGAGWACGAACTGCACCCATCCTGTCGTGAAAACATGACTTGGCCTCGTCCCTACGCTAGTTCCAGTTTTCTTTATCTTTCATCGGATGAAAGCAACGCCTGTTACATATTGATGAAATTTGCTGGATTTGCAATCCTGTGGRAAATTCACTCAAAAGGATAACGAAGTTATGTCTGTAAGACGTAGAACCGTGAGTAATAAAGTTTATCAGACAGTAGATAYCACTGCAGTGTATTTAAGTATGATWGTTGTGCCAAATCTTTCAAATATATGAAACTGTTATTTATTTGTRTCAGGATGGAAACCTTTGGGAAGAGCTGAGAAAGACAGTTGATGATGAAACATATCTTGTCACTATTACGTTAAATCGAAATGACAAAGGTAGAGAAATTAATTTAATTTGTTTTTAAATAAAGTTTTTATGTAGTGTGTTTAGATTTAGCTCAAAAAGATACCGAATGTGGCGTTTGCTTACAAGACCTCGAGCAATTCCGTGACGCATTAGTGCTCTATTATGCTAATCTCTTCACGAAAGCAAGTCTTGTCTAGTATTACACGATATTTAATAGTTGAATGAATTCATTTAGCTACATCTTTGTTCATTCATCAGTTCTTTTTCTCTCTTTATTTTCAAATACGCGGTTAATTATGACTAGCCTATTTTATATTTCCATGTCATTATTATTGTACAACGTATATTGTATAACGTTATAATTGGTCATTTTTATAATATTCACAGCACATAGTTACGTTAAGTTTTGACAATTTGCATGGTGACACCCTGGATTCTACACGAAAACCTTGTTTTTAGCTCCCTGCATTCTATTGGTCATATCGGTGACATGACTGCCAGTCTTTTGAATCGAATGAGAATCTTGAGAATTTGTTTTAACATATAGTTGTAATCTTATAGGATTTGGTTTTAACATACGAGGAGGAGTTGACCAYCCTCATGTTGGATGTGATCCTGGTATCTTCGTAACAGCTGTTAGAGCTGATAGTGTTGCAGGCCAAGATGGCAGACTTGCTATAGGGGACAGAATACTTGCTGTAAGTTATTTCAACACTCTTTGTTTTCAAAAGCATATATTTGACTCCTCCTGCAATATAAGTGACACATTTGARGTCAGAAGAAAGAGGTGGTCTTTTAAGAGAGAAAAAACACAGGAATCTCATAAAACAAACCATTCATAAAGGGGTAATTTTAAACTAGCTCAAAGAACCACATTATAACAAACCATTGAAATAATTGAACTGGAGTGTTTGTGCAACTCAAAGTACACCATAATATAATAGGCTGTGTTACATTCAAGAAATTTTCAATGTACATGAGATAATACCTGATGTAATGCAGGCTATAATATACAATTGCTAATATTTTTTACCTGTAGGTGAATGATGTTCGCCTTGATAATGTTACACATGACGAAGCTGTGATGGCATTCAGRACAACAGATGCAACTATTTCACTGTTGGTAGAGAAGGGAGCAGAAAAGCGTGTACTGGTATAAAGGAATATAAAGATACTGACCAATTTAATTGTCAATGATTGATACCTTTTTAACTTTTGACTTTTATTGTGATTTAGGATGACCCAACACCAATCAATCCAGGACAAGTACATCATTCTGAGGTAGAAGGGCCATTTGATGAMAATGAARCAAGAGATTCGTCATTACAGGGAACTATTAGATCATTCTTTAGTACTACTTTGGGAGCTCTTGCTCTTGGYATAATGGCTGGGAGCGTAACAGTGTTTATTGGAACTAGAATCTATAAAGCTTTAACAAAGTGAGAATTATCAATGACAATTATTATATGGAGACTTTTCAATGGTTGCCCAACCTTTGGTCTAGTTGAGACAATGCCTTTTTTGTTCAGCAGTTTTGAACATAGGTTAAAATCTTGTGGAAAGTAGCTTTTTTCTATAATACCTCTTGAAGAAAACCAATGTAAAAATGAATGAATTAGGATAATTTCACATCGAGTGAAGTTACATCATGATCAAATTGTGAATTTTCCTTTTTATTTTATCAGAGAATTTTATTTAGGATTTTATCAAAGTGCTTGCAGAAAAYGTTTTGTTTGAACTAGACCCATATCTGGTTGTTAACCTATAGATGGTTTACGTTTGGTTATTTTATCAGTACAAAGAGAAAATATCTCACAGAAATCTGGCATTGAAAACTCAGTCTTGGCACAGGTCACAAAAACAATWATGAAAAAATTTTGATTAGAGAACTATGAWAGAAAGATATTTTGATGTTGAGGAAAAAGCTTGCAAAGTGTATCAGCCCAACAATGTTTAATTTTGATTTATATATCACAGCCAGATAAATCTGGTGGGTTATTTTACAAGACATGTTTCTGTTATTACAAGCTGATAGTTGCTTTATATATGTACAAATACATTTTAACCTCCTGAGAGTAAATTTTTATTTAATTTTTCTTGGAACAAACTGATTATGGTACATACTCATGCTTCTTATTAGTGTTTAGACAATAGAAAAGAAAGAAATTTTAACTCCTAGTTTGCAGAAAGTTTCACTGATTGTGATGGAACATGATTATTTTATTGCTTGTAGAGTAGGACTTTCCTTTTTACTAATAGATATAAAAACACTTCTATGGATGCATTCCTGTCATGATATAATACTGGTAGATTTTTATAGAGAACATACATTTTGTAAAGAAACAATTTAAGAACTCTGTAAATAAGAATTTGATAAATTAGGGTTAAGGGATTTTAAATAGTTCACGTCTGTTCTATATTTTGTTCATGTAACTATTTCAATGTAAAGTGTTCACATCTGTGTAGTCTTTGCATGATTAAAGAATTAAACACAATGAATCTGGTATACTTGCATGACTATACATTTAGAACTTGGTTATCTACATTTTGTACACAAGACTTTAAAGACCCATAGTCCACTCGTGGCATCCTTTTTGAGCTTTTGTTCGTGTTTTTAAAATAAAATGACATCATAACATAACCAAAAACATACTACATGTATTTCTTATTCCTTTATTCTATATTAAAACTGACGGATGGAAATGAAATATCTCAACCATGACTGCATTGTTGAGTGCTAGGGGACCATGGTACCTTGTTCAAAGTCAAAGTTGATAATGCATGAATGCTAAATCTGTAGTTATAACTTTATTGTCAAGTATAAAGTACATTGACTGCACAATCTCGTTCTACTGATAAAAAGGTAAAATGGCTAAATTACAGCTTCTACTGTTAAAGCCAAACTCCACTATATTAAAAATGAACTCTAACAAGATTAACTGTACTTTTCTTGCTAAAATAAACTATATTTTGTCTGAGGCAGAAATTGATTTATGAAACTGCATCCACTAAAATTTGGATCTATCTTATTTCAAGGTCCAAGCCTTGAAAATACAGATTTTCCACTGCTGATTTCCTTAGATACTACTCCCACTGTCCTCTTTACTGGTTTGACCGGTTTAACAGGTTTAACTTTCACAGTTTGTTTAGTTCTTGGAGGTCTCAATACGCTATGAGTTGTATAATCAATGCCATCATCTGAATCATCATCATCATCATCAACTGAAATTCCCGTTGGCCGTTTTGAAGGAAGGACAGCTTGAAYGGTTACTTTTTGTTGTGCTGGTGATACTTCAGACATGTTGCCAAGGCGACTAAACACTGACATGGGTAAAGACGAAGATACAGCAGGTGTTTTTGTCTGAAAATGTGGAAGCAGTCACTTAAATTATTTTAATCATTAATATTATTTAAAACTGCTATTAGCCATTCACCCAAAAGTACTATAAACTTTGTGCCTTACCCAAATACAGTTGTATTAAACTAAACAAAATTGCCTATACCCTCTGGTATTCAAATAAGACTTTCCACTATACCTTTGCTGTTTTCAAAGTCACAGCACTTGTTTTTAGAGGCTTTAAAGATGGTGGATGGACTTCAGGTTTTGATGTCGTCTGTTGCTCTTCGCCAAGTCGATCAAAAACTGATTTCTTTTTGTCAACTTTCACCTTTGGAGCTGCACACAGAAATGAATACTTTGTCTCTAAAAAGTAATTTCATCCTAGACTCTTTGGATGTTTAAAAGAATCTGGTTTAATTTTAGTTCTAAAATGGTTGTCAGCAATAGATAATCTTATCTTACTTGTTGTAGTTGCTGTTTTTTTCTGTTGGACTGTCACAGTTTGCTTTGTTTTGGTAGATAATTTCTTGTTAGTATTTGGTAAGTGCACGCTTATCTTCTGAACCTTAGGAGATGTTTTCTTTTTTGATACTGCTGTTGCCTGTTGGATGGTTTTAATTGTAAATCTATCAGACAAACTTGCTACTTTTGCTTTTGGTTCATGTTCTGATACGTTGGCTTTGATTGTTAATCTTTTCTTTGCTGAGGTACGAACTGGAGATTCAGTACCAGACACAGGGCTTCTTGTCCCACTACTCATCCTTTGGTTGTTAATCCAATGGTCAACCATTCGACTTGCAGCTATAAAGTGAAAAAACAATCAAGAGAATGAAAATAAATAAATGATTTTTGTAAGGAACAATTTCTATGACAGAAAATCTTCACCTGTGGATTTTTTTGTTGGTGTTTCTGTTCCTGATGCAGYATCTTGTTCTTCAATCATTGCCAAAGCATTGGCAGCTTTTTCTCTCTCAGCCTTTTAACATTAATAATTGAGTTAGGGTTAAGGTTAGCTAGAAAGTAAAGGTGAGACAATGTTATGGAGACAAGAGTATTTTAAAATCAATTMAGTTTTGTACCTGTGCATGGACCTGTTTTGCATGTCGCAATATTGCAATAATGTCACCCATTACAGTAACTCCAATATCACGTAGAATTTCCTATGAGAGAGTATATAAGACATTGTGTTGTGTGCTTACAGCTACGATGAGCCATTGTCTTTGTCACTAGAGCGGATTTCATATGAGTGGAAAATGGACGGTACTGTACGGTGTCCATAATCGTACTGTAACCAAGTTCTAGTGCCCCATTGGTTCACCAAAATTGTGCAGGTCAGGTGCGGTAACTGTGCAGTAACCGTGCGGTAATGGTGTCCCACTCATGCGAAATCCGCTCTATCACATTGGCCATGGCAACTCTATCATATTCACATGTACACATACCTTTGTCAGATCAGCCAACATATCATCCTGTATTCTATGATCACAGAAGGMAATAGCATAGCTGGAAAATCAGAGAACAGATTCAACTTATACTTTATAAGTTTGAGCACCAGGCAAACCATCATTCATCTTGCTATTTTACCCAGTTTCAATCTAATGGAAAATTTCATTGAAATCTTCTCTTGATCCGTCCCCCTTTTTACACCTCTTTAACATAAAAGAGGTGATTCCAAATAAATACCAGTCAACTACTACACAATAAATTGGTTTTAGTAAAACATCTCTACAAGAAATTCGTACTTGCTCGCGACTGAAGCCGGTATTCCAGCATCTTTGAAGAACATTAACCATTTAGGAACTACAAGAAAACACATTATTACAAATTATACATGAAATAACCTTAAAAACACCTAGTTTTTACCCTGGGAAGTCATTGTTGATAACGTTCCACCAGCTACAACAAGAATAACTTATTTGCGCATGGGCGACTGGGCTACCTGTGGTTTGGGATATTTCAACAGGAAGCCCGAAACAGATTAAGCAAGGGGGCTGCCTCCGGGGCTGCCAATCAAGCCATTTGAGATATATGCCATAAACTATGTTTGTAAATTTTAGTTAAAGAGTTTTATTTTGTTAGACACTTTAATATCTCGCTCTCTAGTAAGTAAATACAACTATAGATATTAAATTGATCGACAAAATAATTTTTTTCATCGACAAAATTTTGACTCTTTTTATAAGAAAAGCTAAATAAGGCAGAAAAAGATGGGGTAACTCTTCATTATCTCCCCTATGGTTACAAGACTCAAGATTCAAGACTTTGACGAAGTCACTTTTATACTCTCCAGCTCCGAGCTTGCTWTATTTTATTTTTTAATATTTTAACACAATCGAAATTTCCTATATTTTTTGTTTGTACACAAAGAGTCCAAGTCTAATCCGTCTGGACTTTGTTCCCCTCTTGGGTAATATCACTGACGAACCAGGAAATCTCACTCTAATCAAACCATCGACAGGAAACTCAAAAAGGACTGGACAAGATCTTCAATAAAACAACACCATTTACATCAGATTTTGAAATAGAAAAAAACAGTAAAACGGGGTTTTCCACGTTTTCAGGACCTGCTTTCTGCTTATTTTCTGCCATTCAATTTCTCTTAGTCATTTCTAAACACGATTCCTATTGGCTAACAGGGGAGAGACTTTCAAGTGAATCAGACCATATTGTCAACCAATCAGAAGACATGTTCATCAAGCCATAACGTACGAGGTGAGGTCCTGGTAAAAAATCTCAAGAAAATATCAAAATTTGAACTGTAAACTTGTCATTTTGTCTTGGACTTCGTACGTAAAATTTACTTCAGTTCTCAAGGAGCAATTCCGAGGTTTCTGTTTGACTGAAGAGATTGGTTTTTAGACAGGTAAAACTTGAATATTAAGCGTTTATTGAACATTATGAATTTGTTTTGGGTTGCAATTTTTCAGTCATCTCCTCCCTTTTTCACTAGTAGAATCGCGAGGGATATTTTAACATTATTGTGTCATGTTTCGATCACAATGAAAAATATTTTCTGTTTTCTGGGATATATGATTTTTGACTTGCCATTTATCAATGAATTACGAAATTGCATTGGCCGGTAAGCTTAAGTTATTTGCGACGTTCAAAACAGGTTGCCGGTTGCATACGTTTATTTCTTTGTGTAAGCKTATTTCTCAATAAAAAGATTAACATAAACTAAATTACGCCAGTCCATCATCATTTTCTATCTAAATCATTTTYTTTKGGCACAACGTTATGATATAAACTTAAAACTAACTTTTTGTTTGAGTGGACACGTGCATTAGTGCGTGAGTTCTAAACAAACTCTCACTGTAATTGTGGAAAACAAGCTCTTACTCTTTGGTGAGAAGTACTATTAAGTTGACAGTGCAATCATGATCACACAGACATAGACATAATCATACTCTGGTAATAATATTCCCAGTGTTATATAAGAAATATTGATCCATTTATGATCTTACATTTATTTTTCAGCTTCRCAGTGATAAATTATGGCTGTATTCAAAGTGTGTAGTCCTGATGTAACTTATACTGATGACTACATTGAGAGTAAATACATCTACGACACAACTGAAGTGAAAAGTGAAAATGGTACTTTAACTGTCCACCCAAGAGAGACKCACTACACCTTTCAGACTGASATCAAAGTCCCTAAACTAGGATGTATGTTGGTAGGATGGGGTGGTAACAATGGTTCCACTCTCACAGCAGCTATAATTGCCAATCAGAAGGGCATGTCCTGGAACACCAAGGAAGGTTTGAAGGTAATACTTCTTGTCAAGAGCATGTAGTGAAGGGAAATGGGGTGTTTAGATCAAGGGATCCTGCTGTTTTTTTAGTGTAAAAAAGGCAGCTTAAAGTCAGTTATTGCATGGTTACAGTGTGTATTTGATGAGCACCGTACATGTACTTGTTATAGTGTCTAATTTATTTATAAAATTTTAAACATTTTCACTCCACAGAAAGCTAATTATGTAGGATCAATGACACAAGCGTCAACCGTATGCATTGGCACAGGATCCAGTGGAGATATCCATATACCTTTTAAAGACCTTCTACCAATGGTCCACCCTAATGACATTGTCTTTGATGGATGGGACATCTCTTCTATGAACATCGCAGATGCAATGGAAAGAGCTCAAGTCCTTGACTGGAATCTCCAGAAACAACTACGCCCCTTCTTGGCTAACATGAAGCCACGTCCATCAATATATTGTCCAGACTTTATAGCGGCAAATCAGGTTGACAGGGCTGATAATGTGTTACTTGGTAGCAAACAAAGCACGCTTGAGCAGATCAGAGCAGATATTAGAGACTTCAAAGAATCAAATAAATTAGACAAAGTAATAGTGTTATGGACTGCAAATACTGAAAGGTTCTGTGATGTGACACCAGGTCTCAATGAAACAGCTGAAGAACTCCTTGCTTCCATAGCAAAAGATGAGAGTGAAGTATCTCCGTCTACAATTTTTGCAGTGGCTAGTATTTTAGAAGGGGTAAGAAATGCTTTGGATTCTCAGGTTGTAGTTATCAAGATGCTTTTATTCACTTAGTTTTTTTTTGCTTTCAGTGTTCATATATTAATGGATCACCTCAGAACACCAATGTCCCTGGTGTAATTGACTTGGCAGAAAAACACAAAACATTTATTGGTGGYGATGATTTTAAATCTGGACAAACCAAGATGAAATCAGTTCTTGTAGACTTTCTAGTCAGTGCTGGTATTAAGGTAATAAAATAAAATATTAATTATTATCCAATGAATGGACAAAGATGATTTATTCACACATTTTTTGAGGCAGCTYAATGATTGTTGGAATTAATAATTTATAATCATAATCATGATCAACTTTTTGTTATTTTAGCCTGTGTCGATTGTGAGCTACAATCACCTTGGCAACAATGATGGTAAAAACCTCTCAGCACCAAAGCAGTTCCGATCCAAAGAGATCTCTAAGAGCAATGTAGTTGATGATATGGTWGAGTCCAATAGTATATTGTACAATATCAAAGGAGAAAAGCCGGATCATTGTGTTGTAATCAAGTATGTACCGTATGTTGGTGATAGTAAAAGGGCAATGGACGAGTACACATCAGAGATCTTCATGCATGGCCTGAACACAATTGTCATGCAYAACACTTGTGAGGTAATATTGATAAGCCTATTTAGAAATAATACTTTGAATGTGTGCCTTCCTAGCAAGTGTTTCTCCTGCTTCTCCCTTGTTATAGCAGAGGACAGAGACACAAGGTTGGCTGTTTTATATAAAAATGTCATAATGTTATCTCAAATGTTATTTTTTTATTATTAATCATTTTGGCCGTATTTATTGAACTTCAGGATTCCCTTCTTGCTTGTCCAATCATCTTAGATCTTATTATCCTATGTGAAGTCTGTGAACGAATCAAATTCAAAGTAGATGGYGACAAAGAGTACCAGTCATTCAACAGTGTTCTTTCAATCTTGAGCTACTTGCTAAAAGCACCTCTTGTTCCAAAGAACACCCCTGTTGTWAAYGCACTATTCAAACAAAGAAGCTGTATTGAAAACATCTTCAGGTAAAAAATATATAAACAACCRATTTCAATCTGTACATCGTAACCATTCAAGAAATGGTTAGCTATATATAGTTAACACATAGTTATAACATAGTTATAGTGTAAGATACAGATTGAAAAGCTAGAAATTAAGTATTGAAGTTTTAGTTTAATAAACTATAACACAAACTTGCAAACSTTTTTTAATGCCATTTATTGTATCCTGGGAATCGTTTGAGCAAGACATAACACCAGTCTTAGTAGTGGTTTCTTTGTTCACATACCAATTTACCAAAAATAATACATAAAATAACTATTTGCAAATTTACAAAATGTGCTGCAATTTCTATGTACATGTTTAATTACAATGTTTTGTGACATTTTCAGAGCCTGTGTTGGCCTCAAACCCCAAAACCATATGCTTCTTGAACACAAACACAGTCTTCCTGTTAGTACAAGGAATGGTGTCAAACGTGGACACGTGGAGATGGATGATGATTTACTAGCAAAGAAGACCAAGGCTAAAAAACACATTACAAATGGATTCGTAAATGGAACAGCAAATGGCCATAGTACTTCGCCTCCACATGAATTAAATGGTTATCGATGAATATTCCTTGAAGCCTCAAGTTACACTAGAGTCATTACAATATCACTTTTTGGATTGTGCGAAGTGTTACCAGCCATCCAAAAACAATGAAATATTAATTTATGGTTGAAACCCATTACCATTTTGATCATGTGACATCTTATTTTATTAATGGAACAATAGATTTTAGGAAATAACAAATAAAGCTGTCAAATGACCAAAGTAAATATTAACCTAATTATTTGCAGTTTTTTTCCACACCAGTTAACAACGCTTCACTTTTTAATACGCTAGTATTATAGCCAATAGCAAGATTAACAAAAGTATTATTACTTGATGCACTTACAGCAACTAGCTGGTGCTTTGTGACAATGCAACATCGGACCAAACYTTTAAAGCGTTCTTATTACAGTGACGGTAGTAAAAAAAATTAAAGCTTGTTATTTATTTATTCACAGAATTAATAAATCAAACACCTGTTCCTATGAAAACATATGTAGAAGAAAAGGATATTTTTCATGAAAGTGATGCTTTTTTTGATGTTATTATTTTAGATTTAACAGGAGTTTTTTTTACAAAGGATTCAAAGTTACCAACTCTCCTTGATAATCTTCAGGTCTCCAGATTCTGAGCCTTATCTCTTGGTCTCCAAGATCAAAGAACAGAATCTGTCGGGTAATATACGTCACCAAAACATTAATCAAACATCATTTCAAATTTAAGGAGAAGCAGTCTATATTCTGCTCTCCGGATTTGAAAAAAAATGGATGAAACTCATTTATCCACAATTTTTTTCATATCTTAATAAAAAATATCCTTTTTTCCTATTCAATAATATTTATTGCATTCAATATCTAGTTGTACCATTATTTGCAAAATTTGTGAGATCAGTTAGGTTTATTATATGTTTTTGAAAACAATTGACAATTAAAAAAATTTAAAAATAGTCTTTATCGTACAGAAAATAATTATTAGATATTTGGATCATGTTCAGTGGAATTATTTAAGTTATTTGATAATTATATTTGTTGTACTAGGGTTGATAAATTCATTGTGAATGTAAAGAAAGTCTGAGACTGGTTGATATTGCAGAGTTATTCAGTATTTTATATGTTTATATTCAATTTGAAATCAAATTGCAAAATTTTTTCCATCTAAAATGGAGGTGTGGACATGATTCAGACCCAAATATTTTAGAATATTATACAGTTTTGTAATGTTTTGATTGATTTAATCTATATGACAATTCTAATTTCATTACATTTTATGTTGCAATGCTTTGCATTTATATTTTTTACAATAAAACAYTTCTTGAACTGAAAAAATGTAAAATATCTCTTTTAATTAAAATCATGAACAATCAATAGTAATAATTATAATAATAATTAATAGTAATAATTATTATTATGATTAAACTTGGAGTGTTTTTTTTTTCCACTTTACTCATCTATAGTTACAAATTAAAGTAATCAGATGCTAGAGTGAGGTCAACTAGCCTCYTTTACAAACAACCTTATTAGTATCCTAATGAGGGAGAAGGAATCTATGACTGATACTACGTCTGCAAAAAAGGCTAGAGGTCAACCAACCCATAAAAAATATTGTTTTCRTTCACTTACAGGTACTAGCCAGATTCCTTAGCTACTTTATTAAACAAACATGAGAGAAATATATATTATTTTGCAGCACATTTGTCAGGATAAGAAGCCTAATAGTTTACACTTATGGCAAATTTGTCGTGCCAAAAAAATTAACAAAGTTGCACATGTAAACAGCCAGGGAATTTTAGTGCAAATAGACTTCTGAACCTTTTACGTCACTACTTGATTTTCAATGCATTGTGGGATCAGTTTGAAGAGAAAACAAAAGAAATCCGCCATRTTTTGTCCCAAACATGYCCTACAATGCATTGCGTATACGGTACATGACGTAAAAGCTTCAGAGGTCTATTGTAACATTGAAGTGTATATGTACGATAAAATTGATGCAAACATTGCAACTAGTGCCGCACAACAATATTGTGTGTAAACAAGCCTTTACAGCATTGGCATTAACATTTTATCAAAGGAGAGTAAGCCCATGAAACCAACTCCAGTTTAGGATGTGATAGTCTAAATGAAACAAAGGAAAATGATAGAACTACATGTAGTGAATGACAAGGTGTAAAATAAAAGCCTAATTCACAGGTTTGATGTGCTTCTATTGAAACACTTAAAGTAACAAATAGCATGAAATAGTTCTGAATTATCCTAATGATACTGCTGTTTATACTTAATTCCGCAATGATTATAATATTGCTATAATAACTATTAATTTTTAATTTTTTTATCGAGACTTAAAATAATGCAAATATCTAAAAAATAAAGTGTTTTGTCTTAAAACTCTCTGTATATATTGCCAATGCCAATCATCAAACAATTATTATTTTGACATTTTACAAACACTTGCTTCGGATAGTGCTGTGGACTAGTAGTATTATATAGTGATGCTTMAAATTAGACCACAAAACAATACACTATCGTTAGTACAATATTAGGGGTAGAGTTCACAACACTGTATATCCATTTGGTGAAGCTATTTCATTTGTGAAAAACAATCTAGGAAACACTCATGCACTGATTGGATACTCGTCTAGTTCTAATTTGTGTTAGCATTACCATACTAGTGGGCTATTGCAAATCCTTCGTTCTGATTGGCTACAGTTACGCTACTTGGGGTCTATTTTCAATAGTCCTTGACTAGGGAAAAGTGACAACTTTTTTGCGTATTTTTAGCAATAAAAACATTTAGTTATTTATAAACTTCATTCATTTTTTGTCAAACTAGTATGGTAAAACTAAAACAATTAGATCTCTTGGCCTTGTGGACTACGAGCTGATAGCCCATTTGGTCTTCTGCCTCATGGGCTATCAGCTCATAGTCCACTTGCCTTCGAGATCTAATTGTTAAATAGACTATTTGAAGAAGTTCAACAATGAGCCTTCCTTCTTGGTGACTGGTGAACAATTTACCAATTTATACTAAAACAAAATTAGACCTTGACCTCATTAAATACCAGGGACCTGTTGTACAAAGGGTGAATAGCGCTATCCATTGGATAGATCCTTATCCAGTGCMTAAAATCCATACAAAATATACRGAGTCAATAACTTTATCCACCCTTCATACAACTGGCCCCTGATACAGCAGTTGATTGGTCGTTGAGGTCCAATTGTATATATAAAGCCAGATAAAATAATAATACCCAGCTGTAGGTTTACCAGTAATAATAATACGTACTACAGAATGATGAAAAGCATCTAGATATATAACTCATATATTTGTATATAAAAAATATTACACTAAATTATATTTAGAATGATAATTATAAAGAGAGCTGCAAGAGTTAATGAGATATTAAAAAATATCCGAATATCAAACATCCGATAAGAATACACATGACCATGATCATAAAGTGGGACACTAACTGGCAATGCATCATGCGCTTTGTGGTCTTTGCAAATGCTGCRACCTGCCAATTCCAGTACTTCTTAACACTGTTTAATGGACAAAAGCATCTGCATTTAAAGTTTCTTGAAGGAAACTTGTTTGGTCTTGATTCCAGCTCACATGGATGGCACAGTCTGCCATACATGTCTCTAATTCCTGGTAAAACTCTTGCTTTGTGTTGGTTTAAAAAYCTTTTCTCTTTGGCACGTTTCCAAGGTGGTTTATTTTCTCCATCATAATAACTGTCAAACTCATCTCTGTCCTTAGATATCATATCATTGCCTCCAACATGCCATATACGACTGATAGTGGGTGCCACGATTTGAACAGTTTCATTACGGTCATAAAATAACAACAATCCAAGTGCGACAGGCCAATCTTTCTCTGTGTAGCCAACAGCTTCTCTTTCTGTCATTTTAATATATTTCCAGGTTGTGCTGTTGAATGCATAGCATATACTCTCRACCACTGGTACCTGGCTAAGTACAAARGTGTCTGGTTGGTGTTCTACTAAGTTTTCAGAGCCCATGCCTTGTAATGTGCTAAATAATGTGTCTGGGACAGTGTTTTTGACATTCAGAGCATACCACATAACCTCCATGAAATCTGGGGATACAATTGCATCATCTTCAATRAAAAACACATCTCCTTGRAAGGTYCCATTGCTTTTKAGTTGAAATGCATCTGTAAATACATTTATAAAAGAATCATTATTTAAACAGCAAAAAGGCATTGAAAAACTCAAGGAMTTTAAGTCCTTCCAGGYTTCTGCACTGGGTTAAACATGAGTGGCAGAATTTGAATGWCAATAAATAGGAAATTTTCATATACTTGATAATATTATTCAAATGCTTTGAAGATGAATCAATAGCAAATTAAAACACATTGGAGAAAAATGTAGAATACCACACAAAATAGAAATATATGCACACCAGATCTTTTAAGAACAACACCACATAGATTTTCAATGATATTTATAAAGTCATGAAATTTATAAAAAGATAATTCAGTAAGATGGCACTCTTCCAGTGTTTCCACGTGAATTTGCCAACCTAGGAAACTATTAAAATGYAGTTTTGACATTCTTAACTGTCCTATATATCACTCTGTTTATATMTTTAAAAATGTACAATTTACAATGGAACCTTGTTAATCCATCCTACAAAGGAGCATCAAAAAGTGGCTGTATYAAACTGGGCAGAAAAGTACAAGTGTTTAATTTGCTAGGATATAAAAATCTGGCTGTTATCATGCAGTGGCTGTATTAGGTGAGTGGCTGTCAGCAGGGTTCCACTGTATACTGAAGCTGGACAAGAAATATTAAATGARAATGCTTTATTTCCCATTCCTTTCCCATTTCTCACCTTTCTCTTCAAAAACCTTYGTCATTACTTTCCACCAATGGGCCTTCAGAACATCAGGATTTCGCTCTTCTTTGTCATTTCCGAAAGTCCAGACAAGTTTTCTACAAAATGTAATTTTTGCAAGTACTTTATAGGTTTCATTAATATCGTCCATGGTGGAATGTTTGGTATGGTGTAGTACGAACAGGCATGGTGTAGTGGGYTGGACATTACCCGAACTTGACATAGACTTCAAAGTCTTTTCYAAATATCTTGGCTTGTAAGAACTAAACACCACTATAGGTAATAAAGGAGGCTTATAGCTATCTGGTAAACGAATGTCAAATTGTTCAGGCCATGACTCGTTAAAGAAATAACGGAAGAGCACAGGCAATGCCAACCACAACTGAAGTAGAATCACTACTGTGAATACAACTGTTCGTTTGAACGAACGAATCTTAAAAAGTCTTCTAATAATAAACGCCCAATTCATTGCTTTAGAATTACTAATGCTTTGTTTGCTTTAGTCTTTACACTTGCAAGGATCAAGGATTCAGGTTTCTAGGCGCTACTATAAAAATCCAAAATCACTGCAGACGGCGACCATACGTTGTGACGTGTCCATGTTTTGAAAGCCGAAATTCAGCAAACAAATCGACCTAGTTACAAAAKTTGTTGTACTTAACGTGCTGTCCTCCAATAGCGTCCATAAAACACGGCAATTGCTTTTGAAAAGTGGTTTTCCCATTAAAGTGTAACCGGATTTTCACATTTCACGTTGCTGCACCGTCTTCCAGATAAAGATTAACTTCATTAGTACCCAGTGTACTTGCCTCCTCATTTCACATACCACAGGCAACCCATTKCTAGTGACTAGTGTCTCAGTGGCTGGAAGATTTCGAAAAAAAATTATAAAATTTTTTTTCCTCGCCTGCACTACTTACTCATAGAGGTGACTTGACTATCTCAGTTATTTCAATGCTGATATTAAAATTTCAGCATTTTGGGATAAGTATCTTGCTACCACACCGGCCTGTTGATGCATATAGGTATTTATGTATTACATAATCTTCAATAAACATAAAACGTGGTAAACAACATTGCACATTTTAATAGCAATAATGTAGGTTAAAGTGCTTGTCTTGATCCAAACAAAGAGTATAACTTCTCATTAAGCATGGACGTTTTATAATATTGATTGCAATAATCTGTTTCAACTATTATTAAGGCAATGGAGGATCTCGGGTACAAATTTATCACTTTTTTAATCATTAGCCGGTTGAAAATTCATAAACAAATCACTTACTGGAGCAGTTAAAATGTCATTGTCTTACAAACGATACACATTCTCTTGATTCTAAATAAATATTGCAAACATGGATATATAATGTCTCTTATACTAATAATGAACAATAGAATTTCCTGTGGTTAATTCCAGGAGCGTTTACTAATAAATGTCTTGTCCTTCAAGCAAAATCTTTGGATATATCTTGAAATGCTACAACCTGCCAAACAAGAAAATAATAAATATTTATTTCTCATTAATTATAATATTCAGATTTTAGGGTGGCTACATCTTTCCCTTAAATATAAGCTAATATTGCATGCAAATTTTACGTATATGTTATTTAATGACATATCATATCCCCATCATATCTACTGAAAAAATAGAGCCTATTAAGAGCCAAACTTAACTTTATCTTGACAACGATTTTTCCTACTTCAAAACATGATAAGCAGAGAGAAAAAGCTACGAAATTTCACATGTAATTGGTACACTTACCAACCAGAAGGCAGGTGTGTTTTTCACTCCAAAGAGGGCAGCAAATTCAACCAGCTTAAAAACTCTGGAAAAGAAATTTTGCCGTTCTTGTCCTTGTCCAAAGTCTCGAAGGCATTCTGTTGTCGCTTTGCATCGAAGCTGAGAGACTTCAACAAATGTTGCAGCTCGTCCCTTTCGATGGTGCCGTTGTCATTCTTGTCGAATGTTTTGAAGGTTTGGACTGCYTTTTGAATCAAACGACACGTAAAGTCATTCTTCACAGCTTCTAGCTTATCATCTCTGCAATACCATTTGTAAAACTGGTCAAATGTAACGCTTCTGTTTCCTTCTTGATCAAGCAACATCAAAATGGTTTCGATTTGGTTCTCGTCAACATCGATGTCTCCCTTGAATTCATTTTTGATTAACGAGGTTAATGCAGCCTGGTCCACACAACCATCTTTCTCGTATTTGCTAAAGAGATCTTTTATTTTTACCTCGTTGCTTTCAGCCATGGGTCATTAAATGTATAAAATCTAGCAAGAAAACTCACATGTGTTRCACGGACCAAGTATTCTTCGATCACACCTCCTGGGATGATTCATGTGTACACAAAAAACTTGCATGTGATTGGTTGAGCCARTTAGAAACAGGAAGCCCACAAAGACAAATAYCACGAAACTCTTTAAATATTCTTAATTATTTACATCCAGTTATAAATATTTTGACTGCATCATTATTTCTAAACAAATTATTTTTACACAGTAAAATTTCTAATTAAAAATATGTTGAGTCTCTAGCAATATGTCTTCAACCAGGGACCCATTCAATATTGGAAACTGGTTGAAAACCTGTTATGCGAGTCCATTGGTCTGATACAGTTTATATATATATCAACCAATAAATATGTAATCTTTACATTGCCATACTATGCCTGCCTACTGTGAATATGGACTGACTGTCCAGCTTTTACTGTGAAGTTCAATTGTGAATAGAATCCCTCAATTTGCAGGCTTTCATTCTATGTATATTGATTGCTGCTTTCATCACCRTAGAATAAATCTTTATCTAGCCTKGATAACACATGATGTATTGTCCTGTCTTGTATGATATTTCTAGGTACACGTTTTTCTAGTTGATATTTCTCTTAATTTGACTTTTACGCTTGATTCCTTTAGGAGTAACTGTCGTATATGCAGCAAAACAAGCAYCTGGAATCCAGACAGGTCTTACAAATATTCAGTGAACAATGTGSACTTTGTGTATTCTAATGTCGATTGACTTAAAGGCATCTAATCAGACACTTCAMTAGTAAATTCGCGTTCCACTAGTAAAAATGTTGGAATACAGATACTACTTCTGTAGTGTGTAAATACAATTCAATGAAGACGCCAATACTGTTATCTACAAATCTGCTAAACTTCTACAGCAGCCAAATCCAGTCTTGGTTCTGTTATGTACACTTTTTACATCAAAGTGATTTACTTTGAATTTTACTGTATGATGCATGCTTGAGAGCCATCACCCATTGTTCCTGATGCTTTAGCAAAACAAATAGCTTGCATCCATTCTTGTTGATCCTGTTCAGTGTCTGAATGAAAATAGTAACACCGGCTGCTTCCTTTTGGCTTTATTCGGAATGCATGCTGYTTTTTATCAATTGAACATTCAGAAAGTTCACAACCTTCCARAGCAAGTACTTTGGTCAATTCCTAGTTCAATAAAGAAATGTAAAGTAAGTACAATTTTATAGTAAAATAAAAGTTTGATATAATAAAATGTGTAACTGGCTGGCCCTAGGGGAGGGAGGGCAAGGTCTATTTCCCTGACCCACCCTCTTGGATCAACTAACTACCTTTKTTAATTTAATTTGACCAGGAGATTCAACATACATACAATAAACGCTTTGTTATTATTTGGTGGCATTGTCCTTCCTGAAAACCTATATAAGCTTAATCATCTATATATTTTACTAATTTGATCAAACTAACTGTATATATATTCACTGAATCTTTTAACATCATAATATTTCAATATGCTTTTTATCAATAATTCATGCTAAATATTTAGGGAGGTTTAAGCAAATAAGGGAGGGATCCATTGATGGCTTTATAACGCCYGGTTTTACGTCAAAATGATTTAGCACRCACCTCAGATGATATTCCATAAAATAATTCGTTCTTCTTCAGACAACACCACCTCTTTTCCCATTTCTTWGAATATTTACTTCTTTTCATCATCCATGATTGTCGAATGGCTGTTTCACTRAGRTCACTGGCCCTACTACCTTCRTGATCGCTGGCCGCCATATTTGTTACTTGACAACAGTGTCCTCCTTCCTTCACACAGGGAACCCAAGATCAGATAAATATCGCGAATAAATATATCTAGTCAAAAAATGTGGTTTGCATTAATTTACTTTTAAAAATTGCTCAAATTATGTTATATCTAGTCTTTTAAAGAGGGTYTTTGGRAAGAACAAATTGTCTATTAWTTTTTTTGGTAACTACCGCAGGCGCACACATATAAGCGGTTGCTCACGTTACTATGGAAACAATTAGAAGCAGTTCTCGAATGTGTTCTGAGCACTTGAATGGCTTCTCGATAAACAGTTTATAATATATATCGACATGGAGAAAGTCCTAAGCTACAATCTTGAGCTCGAGAAGCAAAAGCAAAACGTCTTTGTCACSCAATTAAGGTAAGATTCCTATCAGTTCGAAACAGGGAAAACTATTGTGGATAACTCGGCATGAATTTTCATGACTTACATCGCTGTATCAAAACATCTGTTCTGCTCGTATATCCATCGATATTTATCTGTTTTTATATTTTCTTCTTTAGAGAAGATGAAGATGACGAAGAAAAAGATKTTAGAAAGTTTCCAATCGTACAAGAGGTATGTTTGACGACTCAATAACTTCTGAAGTCACTTTAATGTGTTAGCTCACTACGTAACTGACTAACTAAATATTGGCCAACAAACGCGGACTCTTGAAGTATTAGCTGCAGCCAAATTTCACTCAAATTAATGTTTTTCTATGTTCTAGTGTATAGATAATTTGTTATTTCCAGTACAAAATGTAATTTTTGTAAGCCACATTTCAATTATTGGACAGAAAAAAAATTATTGAATATATAAACAATATCACATTTATTCTCTTGGTTCTTACATTACTTACATTCATAACAGTGTTTCAGTTCAAGTGATAATTCTAAAATATTTATATATTTATGTAGATCAGAAAATCGATCTGGAAATCTCTTAAACCATCAAATAWATATATTTTTAGTCAGCAGATAAGCTTCTGGACACTGGCCTCAAGACATTGCAGTCCACACTACTTTTAAAAAAGCAAGTTGAAGTGGAAAAAGTACAAGAAAATTTAGAGATTAAAAGACAACAATTTACAGAACGGATGGCAATCTGTAAAGAGAAGGAAGAAGAACTCAAGAAAAAACAATTRCAGGTTTGAGTGAAAACCTGATTGCAATCTGCCCTTTAGCTACTTGCTAATATGGGTATAGGAAAARACTGATGGCAATCAACTAAAGTGCTTTTATTTTTATTAGATCAGGGAACGTGTTACCAGGTTTGAAAAATTCATCAAAGAAAATGAYGCAAAGAGAAGGCGGGCCATCCAAAAGTATCAGACGGAGCTGAAGCTTAAAAATCAAAAGACAAAGGAACAGGGTTCGCTGTCACAGGAACTGCACACGTTACGACTAAAGTAATTATTGCTATAGTATTATAATTATATTKATATACTTATTATTATAACATCAACAATAAATAATGATTRATGATGATGATGATGATGTATTGTTATGTTGGCAAATGACACTTTATAACCATAATTTCTCTTACAATATTTTCTTTTCAGGAATTCAACTCTGGAGAACAAAATAGCCAAATATTCGGTGTATGAAAGATTTTTACACAAAGTAACTGACATTGTCCCTGATGGTAAGTTCCGATAATGTTTCGGGAAGCCATATCCTGGTTAACTTGCATACTTTAGCCAGCTCTCATTAGGGGCCTGGAGAGAGTGCCAGTAATAAACTGAGTCTAGAATAATTAAGTGTATTACTTATTAATAATGATTTTTTTGGATGTTTCAGATTATCTAGAAGCCAGTGACTCYATGATAATGGGTTTGATGATGAGATTTAAGACCTTGAGCACCACCAATGAAACATTAGTGAACCTCTTGACAGACAGAGCAGACGAGGTACAGGAATTTATTCCTATAGCTAACTTGAATATGTCTTAGTTGAACTCCTCCGTGGAAAAATCTTAATATATCTCAGCAATCAACAAATAATGAAATTGATAGCAACTTACTAATCTTATGATTTTGAGAAAGTGGAGTCCTTTGCAGTTCTTTTRAAATTACTTTTTGTGTTTCTTTATAAATCACAGGTGGAAAAATGTCAGCAGAAATTACAAGAAATGAACCTCAGCCATACTCAGAATTTAGTGGTATGTAGCTCAAGATTATAGATGATTAGTGTGGTAATGATGCATGAAGATGATAGTGATGATAATGATTCCATTCTTTTAGTTGATAAACAGTGAGCTGGCTTCTCTTCAAGAGAGGTTAGAGGACACAATGCAGAAAAATRCAGAGCTTGATCAGCACCTTGTCAACAGGAAGATGGTTATCAGAGAACAGGTACCTCAAATCGCGTCATATTTCGTGAATTAACCGTCACGCCACTTTGTACTTTTATGCGTCATGTAACATAATACCAACACGTCACTTTATTGTAGCGTCACGCAATGTCCTGGATTATCGCATCACTCAATTCAACGTAATGCATGTTTGTGCATATTTGAATGAAACGTCACGTTTCGGGGASGACGCAACTTCKTTGTRAYGTCACTTGCGCAACCTCAAAAATTGTTCGTCAATTAATTCATTGAAATGTCACGTCATTTATCTCTCAGTTGTCATCTTTCTACATGTGTGTACAAATAAAAAAAACACTCTGTCAGCCTCATGACATATTCAGAAAATATTGACACAGTTTGTTTCATAGAGTGAAACGTTAGGAAGAATTAAGTTGGCCATCAATAACATAGCTGAAAGATGTCAAAGAAAAGTACTCGTCCCAGTAGAAACACAAGATTTTGAGACAAAAATGGGAATTATACAGGTTAGTGACATCATCTATTGAGTATATTCCCAGCTATGCAGCACGTCCTCATCGATTGGTCGATGTTTGGACGATCAGTTGATGATGCGCTATTGATTGGCAGATGATACATTGATGAAAATAGTTTCAATGCTTGAATAACACTATCCTTTTTACCTCTTCAGGGGCACTTRAAAGAATATAACGATATTGTGATACTGGCAAAACCTTCAGAAACCTCTTCAGAAAAACAGAGCTACCAACTCAGCAGTCCGTCTATCTTGAAACACAGAGAATCGCGTCTTCCCAGCACGCACAAAACGTTGAAATTCGCCGATARCGTCCCGCGTAAAACGGCTCGTTCAAACACAAGAGGTGCAGTAGCATAGTTACGTGCTGACGTGAAGTCATAGGTTGTCACTGACCATACCAGTACTGTCATCGTCATCCTAATATGGAATGTCCCCCTAAGTGTACCAGAGTGCTATGCGATCCGCGTTTTTTTTATAAAATGAACCTGGATGAAAGGTTATAAACACTGTCTTATCTTTCAGTATATTTTGCGGCTTTAATTAATTGTTGGAGTGCAAAATGTATAATAATGGAAAGACTTCTTCGGACAACTGTCAGATTAATCTTTTTTAATACATACACAGAAGAAATTATTTTATCATGATATCCAAATGTAAATATGTAAAGGAATGAATAATAAAAGTTAAAACGTTTTTAATTCAAAAGTGATTTTATGCCTTTGAAATAAATAAATAAAAAAAGATATACTGGTCCGTATGGGGCTCGAACCCATGACCTTAGCGTTATTAGCACCACGCTCTGCCGACTGAGCTAACGGACCAATTTACAATTTTAATGATCTTCCAAAGTAAGAGGATTTTGATCTGTGGATTAGCTCGAGTGTTTTTCAATGACAATCTAAGAAATATCATAACTTTATATTTGGTGCATAGTTGGTGCTCTTTCTTGTCGCACAGCGTGACGATCGGCTCCCGTTCAAATAGTCTTCAATGGACTAAATGAGAGGTAGTTTTCAATATAGAAAAAAAGTCCCCAAAACCGTTTTTGGTAGTTTCGAAGTAAGTAAAGACTATTATAACTATTTTAACTATTTTTTGTTAAAACAATCTAAAAAAGGTTTCGATTTTTGTGAACAATGATTTTTGTGAGTTGAATATATGAATGAGGGAGGGAATGCGGAAGGGAAGGGAATAGTAATGCATGGATATGGGCATTGTGAGCCATGCATTTTTGTGGGTAGTGTTTTTTTGTGAGTTGAATATATGAATGAAGAGGGGAATAAAGAAGGGGAGGGGAATAGTATACATGGAATTTAAAGTATGAATAAATATATATTACAATATCAAGTTCTATCATGTTCTACGGTAATGCAAACACCTCTGCGTATAAAGAAAACACTAAGTGATCCAAAATGTTTGTGTGCAGTTGAGGCTAAGACTGTGCAAAAAAGATTCAGTCGAACCAGGAGCTTATTGCCAGGGCAGGATTTTGGAGCACGTGGTTTTAACTGACTGATCTTTTATATCACATATCGCGTAAAAAAGGTGATACTGGTCTGTATATGGGGCTCGAACCCATGACCTTAGCGTTATTAGCACCACGCTCTGCCGACTGAGCTAACAGACCAACTTATTATTGTTTGCAAATCAAGCCAATTTGCAACTATCATATTGTTCTCAGTTATCAGTAGTCGGGATTTCATAGTACACGCCCCCGTATACTTGACACTCTCAAATCCAGGGATTTTTTTCATCCTTCATCCTTATATGTGCGTTTTTGGTGCCGTTTACATGAAAACGATAATCGCCTTCATGTTTTAACGCGTTTTCGAAAATATCTGGAAGCTGTTATGTCTGTTATCGTTTTAAGTGGATAGCTCAAGTCTCATTCATATAACAAGTCTCATTCTACGCTAGCCTGCGTGCAGCCGAACCAAAACTTGTTATGTTCACAAGTTTTGGTTCGGCTGCACGCAGGCTAATTCTACGCAAACGCAAACTATCATGACGCATTAACCTACAAAAGTATGAATGATTCGCTTTCAGTTTAATAGCAATAGTAACAATAACAATATATTATAACAAGCAAGAAAAAGGCAAGTACCAAAGCCAATTATTAAGTTTCGAGTTAACCTAGTTCCCATAAGTGAAAAGGTTGATTTATATACAGTTTTGTTCAAAAAATATGAATTGATATGTCATGCAGTCAACGCCTCTTGTACTTGACTTCAGTCGGATCCTCTAGTATGAACACTTTTCGCTACTCGCGTCAACCCCCGGTCATGGGTGATATTCGTTGGTGGTAGTCAAGCACGCGGAGTTGAATGCATTCCATTATTTTATAGATCAAATGTATTTCACACAATTTAATAGCTATATATTCAGCAAATTCTATACATTATGGAAACAAATTATTATGGACGCCAAAACATTCCCATGGCTATCTTCATGTATAGATGGTTAGCTATCTTTGGTAGCTGTATGGACAACCTCTGGCTACATGACCACGTATCCCTGGAAAAACAATACAAAAATACACATAAATATAACGCAGCCTCCTTAGCAGCCGTCCTTAGGGTGACGATACAGAAGCGGCTGATAAGGAGGCTACTCCTAATTAAATCAGATCACGACCGAGCATTTTAATACTATTCGAAAAAGGAATGAAAGAAAACAGAAAAAAGAATGAAAGAAGAAATGCAAGCGAGGTGTTGCTAAAATCAGTTGCTCTTGGTCCCTAATTCAGTCTATTTCTTCGAACTTACACTTACCCTGTATCCCCCCTCCCCACGAAATTGAGCGACATCCCCGTATATCAAGCTGATCCCCGATTCGTTTCAGTGCAAAATCTAAAATCTTAATCCCGAAATAACGCAACTCGTGCCATATGAAAATTAGTACACATACCACAAGCATAACACACCACGTTATGGTATCCATATCCACCCGACCTCTGTTGGTGGTACACATGACCACTGTTCCTCTGTTGTTGATAGTTGTAATTCCTATCAGTATAGCTCGGCCCAACGTTGTGAGTTTCCTCATACCTACTAGCATGGTAGCCACGTACAGGAATTCGYCTTGTGTCGCGACCTTCATTGAAGCGTACGTCGTTGTTATACGAGCGCTCGTATGTCTCGATTATGTGGCGTTGTGCATGCGTTAGTTGGACAATAGGAAAAATCACATCTGATATGAAAATAAATACATTAGTCGCGTTAGAAATGTTATAGTTTCACGCTTCATAAACGCAAGGGGTAGATCCAGGAAGACTCAAGGCTGTTTACTAAACCTTTACCCAATTTCATTTCAGTTTCTTTTTAATGAGTTTATTTCTTTTTTTTAATGGGTGTCAACTCATTTCCTACGAGCATAAACCGCACCCTTCCTTGAAAAATCCTGGATCCGCTCCCATGACGTATAATACATTCAGCAAAACATAAAAACTCCGCGGAAGAGTCCAACTGCCCKCGACGCATATCCACGCGTTATCGCTGGATCACATATATAGAACGATAACCGCAGGAGCAGTAGGAATATTCTCTTGCAGGAAAATAAGATTTAAACAAATCGAAAAGAAGAACACTCGTGGAACGACATACAKAGTGGTTGTTACGTAATTCACGACAGTACTTACGTAAACGYACGTTTTGCGCAAAGAATTCAACGCAAACAAATGACCGCACAAATAACGTAAACTAGACAAGTAATCGCAAGTGTTCCTGAATAGCTAACACGAGAGTTTAACAAGCCATCGRCCTCCTGCAGGAGGAACACGGATGGAAGTGATGATTTTATAATAGAACGAAATCGCACGATACGTACTTACCAAGACGGAATGGATCTTGACAACTCGACCAAACTAAATTATCATTTCTATACCTTTTAGGAGATTCAAGCGACACTAAATTGATACCATTAGCACAACTAGAACTGCCAAATTATTACATGCAGTTAGGAAAATGAAAATACATGTTTTKTCATCCGATTCCAGATATTAACTGGAAATGACCACTTACCATTATTGAGAATTAAATTAGTACTACCAAGTAAAAAYATAGTTTTATTTGATTAAAAAACTAGACTAGCCTTGGGATTYCAAAGCGTTSTTGGAGTGTACCTCYTTTTTAATACCTTATAGTCTATATTTCTTTCAAAAGAATGTTTTATTATGAAAAAACGTGCTACCCTGACATGAAATTATTGACCCAAACAGCAAAATAAAAGTTTTGAAAACTTGAAATAAAGATCACTTTGCATTCATCCATGTATTTCTTGTCACGATGAAMTAGCTAATATCATGCGAGAAAACTTAATATCATGCATCAAGTCTAATGAAATGTTTGTCATACAACCGAAATCCTTGATCTGTTGCCACCACCAATAAYCTGTGTATYRCTATCTGTCTAAGGCTTAGCTCAGGATCATGACACTATGACAGTTTGAGCTGCGCCGTGAACCATGAAGCAATACCACTTAAACTAAGACTATTTTCTTTTCTAAAAAGGCTTCCATGGTAGTGTAAACAGCAATTTTGGTAGTATTTAGAGCAATGTAAGTTTTCAAATACAACTGCATGAATGGACACAAAGCTATTGACTGAACCTACTGAGAACGGAATACAKACCACTGAAATTAGTATTTACTTACAACTTAACTAACACTATTGTGGRCTTAWTAATCACTCGCAATATTGCTGCAAATACTAATTTCCGCTAGTTTTGGGTCAATTTTCAAATCAATTTGTTCAAAGAATATCGCATTAACTAAACTGAATATTCTCTGTAGGTTTGATTCTAATTGGATTTTAATACAGAGCTAATTAGAGCAAGCACCATTTTTTCACTTTTATTTAAGATCCGAGCATCTGGTTTCTTTGAAAAGTTCTGTTTTTTGTTTTTTGTTTGTTTTTTTGTGTGTGTAAAATTCAGGTTTACTAAAATTCTTGATTTTGCTTTCTTGGATAATTTCTTCCTTAAAAAATATCTGATCTTCAATACTATCAAGACCTTTCACTCACATCCATTAGAACTGAATATACATTACTTTCAGCAATGTCATAGTACCGAGTGTATAAAATTTCTTGTCAACTCTATAAGATTTCTTCAAAACCATAACTTTGTTTTTCCCATAAAAGATTAAAAACATATTTCTTGAGATCTTGCAATGAAATAGCATGATTTGCCAGAATGATTTTTTTCTTCCAGGAACAATACCGTAACTGGTACCTATTCTGGACTTATAAATCGCCTTGACAGCAACATTATACGCTCACTGAATTGGTTGTTTTTGCCTCTATGTAATAATCAGGATTCCTAGTAAACATACAAGGCARCCGGATTGTAAAACAACTGCGATGTTCAGACTTTTTCTCGACTTTCTGCCCGTTTTGGTGTTGATATCAACATTTATCATTGAATATCAGAATTTTAGCAGGAACATGACGATAAAAGAGGTATTTTTGATGAACTATATCAATGCATTTTTGGATTCAATCCGCAAGAATATCTGTAGGTTTGGAATTTTTTGGTGTACTAGTTCGGCATATTTTGGGTAGCTGTAATGGCAACAACTGCCCAGTAACTGGAGCAAGTAAACCCTTAGACAGGAGGAATTAGTCAACCACGACGTAGCAAGGTAAACAATTACCTCTGCTTTTCTCTGCTCTCTCCTGCAACAAAACCTTTCTTCTTTCCTTGCTGTCATCATCCATAGCTTCAACCATTTTAGCAATTGCATTGTCAAGCACTATGGAGTGAATGGGTTGAGTTTCCACKGATTTRCGACAGACTGGACAAGAATTTCTCTTCTTTAGCCAGGAATACAGACAGTACTCACAAAATGAATGAGAACAGGCTAGAGTWGTTGCACGGATGATTAATTCTTGRCAGACAATACAWGAGAATTCATCTTCCATTTGTTCAACAACTGTCTGTGCAACCTCTTGTGCTTTCTTGGTGTACTCCTGTTGTTGCTTTAATTCYTCTTCTTTTTGCTCAACTAGACACTTMAGCTCCTCAAGATTTGTTTCYAGCTTTTTCTCATTTGCCTGCACCACTTTCAATCTYTCAATAGCATTTTTGTATTCATTGACTTCTCGTTTGCACTTYGTTAGTTCTAAGAGTAAACTTGACTGCTCGCTTTCTTTGTCTGTAATAATTTTTTCAAGCTTTGATTTTTCATTTTGTAGTCTCTCCTGTAATTCCATATCCATGAGTTCAAGCTTTTGATTCATCTCTTGTTTATGTTGTTCTTCTAGTTTTTCTTTCTCGATCACCAGCAATGCTTTCTGACTTTCAAGTTCTTCATTCAACTTGACTTCCTTTTCCTCAAGAGTTTTGAGTTGTTCTTGCATTGCATCCTTTTCTGCTTCTARTTTTTCCTTYAATGCAATAGCATCCACCTCTTGCTTAGAAGAATTACATTTTGCAGGAATTYTCTCACAAGATTTGTCTAATGATTTCATTTCASTGCTGCCTGAGACATTAGGTCCACTCTCAGATAAMACTTTTCTTTGTTTTGCTTCCTTACTACAAATAATTGGCTTTTCAGCRCTTCTCTTCTTTACAGAGGGCATAACATCAAATATATATTCAAATTCAGGAGCACTAGATTCAAGTGCAACTCCAAATACTATCCTGTCACCTATGTGAAGTTCCTGAGGAGTGTTGCTTTGAAGTTTTGCACCATTCACGAATACACCATTCAAACTCTGAAAAGAAAGRACAATTCATTGAAAAACAATTCTAAAAATAAACAAAATTACAGCTGCATTTGAAAGGCTGTCAACTGAAGACGTTGTTAAATGACATAACTGATGACTAAACCTACTTACAGCAAGGTTGTCATAAAGAGAGAGAAAACATTAGTAATCTAGTGGGACAAAGTTTATATTGAGTGATCGTATTCTTGTCTTTTGATGAGTTCCTTTCCCATCAAAATATTGTTCTGTTTTTGTGTGGAAATATAATTGCAAGGTGGTGAATATATAAGATAACAAGTTTTTTTATCTTAACAAACCTATTCTAATGATTCTAATGAGTGTTACCTGCATGAATTATAATTTAATCTTACTTAAATTAGCAATGAATAAATTTTCATGGTCCAACACGACAAACGGTTTGATTTTATCCTTTTAATCTAATATTTCTTTTCTATTTTAAGCATGTATCATGTATAATTCATTTATCTCTTGATAACATAGGTCATTCTTCAGTATTTGGCATATATCACATTTAATGCCATAACATAATTAGAATGCAAGAAAGCTAAAGAAATAAAGTCAGCTTTAAGAAGTGTGGATTATCACAAATTTTGAGCACAACACATGTATACAATAAGTTACAATGGAAAATTACCAAAAGATGGCCACAACTGCAGGTACTTTCTTAATCCACAACCATTCAAGTTTTATATTTTGAGMAAGTAGCACATTTAGAACAAGTTCTTTTAGGAAAAGTACCCAAAAGAAAAAACTTGAAAGGTTGAAAATCTTGAAAATTTACATAAAATAAAAAACGTGAATTATTTGGATGACGCATTGGCGTTTTTATTAGTAAGGTAAATGTAATAATTTGCGAGATTTGAATTAAAAATACATGTAAACAAAAGACTCATGCATATTGATCAACTGTAGGCTAGTAAACAGGCTTGACCAGTTTAACAATGTACACGCTTCTATGGTTTATTTTGAACAAAAATTGCATTGAAATCGCTGAACTAAACAAATCAAGCCTTAGGATTGTAAATAACAAGACTTTAAACTCTAGAAATAAAAGAATTAAAATCTTTTTATTTAAAGATAAGGCTGTTATAGTTGATAGAAATATTCTGATGAAAGACTATCCTAGAGCGAGGATTTGATTACTGGAACAGTTTGAATATTCCAACCTTTTGATGGATTTACAAGAAAACATAGCCGATAAAACTGTTTAAATTTCCTCTCAAAAACTTTTAAGCCCGATRTTAGTTTACCTGGTGATCAAGTAGAGTCCATTTGCCTTCGGAGCAAGAYACGGTTGCATGTTTGCGAGAAATCATTAATGGCGCGATTTTTGACTGCAGACGAACGTTAACTTCGCCTGAAACTGCAATTCTACCAAAGGTTAAAGGTTTGTCTGAACGGAGAAGAATAGTATTTGGACAAACAGGRTCGCCTTTCCCTCCAACTGGGACGGTTTTTCTGAGACAGAAATCAACCGCCATCTTCGTTCACCATCTGAAATTTGTCAACTTTGTAAATACAACCAGGCGCATGCTCTGTTGAGCCACGAGTTAATTAATTAATCAACCAATCATGAATCACTTTTTATCCAATTACAATAAACTACACGCACTCTCATTGGCTAGAATTTTATTGTGGAAATTGACTCGAATATCTTTGATTTTGCATWTTGTGCATTATATTTTTCATTTTTGCAAATAAAAGTGAACGCAATGCTTTCTGTAATCTTGCCAATATCTTTTTGTGCTTAAATCGGAAATTTGAAAAGATGTACAAAATTTGGAGTTGCCAAATCATATAAGCGTTTATATTTTTATATTAAATTATGTCGCGCTTCTTGATTGGCCAGTCCATATTTGTACTTCTCTCGTTTCCAGTCCTTGACAACCTTGTTGACAATGACAGTAAGGCGGCAAGGCGTAGCATTTTGAAAAGACAAAAAGTGTGACTTTGGCTGGAGTTTTGCATTTCTGGCATTAGCCATGACGGACCGAACAGCTCCTACTTCTCAGCTGCGTCTAGAGTGGGTCTATGGCTATCGCGGACATCAATGCCGAAACAATCTGTACTACACGGCCTCGAAGGAGGCAGTGTATTTTGTAGCTGGGGTTGGTGTTGTCTACGATACGAGAGAAAATACTCAAAGGTTTTTCTTGGGCCATAACGACGATATTATCAGGTACTGAGCTGACTTGAACTTGTTAATGAGAGATTATTTTGAAGGAAGTCAGTTAGGGTGTGTTAGTTACTGAGCTCGATATAAATCACTTGATACTGAACATCCTTCTGAGAAACTTCCACCTTTCGTGCCCTTTCGTGGGCGCACCATACATATATTGGTGATTCTGCGATGCCTCACCTTTTATTCTTAGATGTGTACATTTTACTAAACTGTTTTGATCATGGTCAAAGCACACGAAAATAATTTGAAGGCAAACTCTTGCATTCTGCACATTATTCTCGAACGCCGCGGGAGGCCACGTAAAAGCCTACCATACCATTTTTTCATGAAAACGATTTTAGCTAAACAGGATTAGCTTTCAAATGGCTTTCATTACTCTTCTAGCATTGCTTTTCAATATATTTTGATTTATTTTAAATTACACGTTAAATTTCTCTCAAAAGAGGAAAGGAAAATATGGAATTTCTTTCTTCCATTTATTTTTAAGGGGAAAAAACAGGAWTTTTTTTAATTTTTATAATCTAAATGTGTACTTGATTCATATTTTATGCCTGWCATAGTTTAATGTTTTATAACATCCTGAAGGCTTATAATTGTTTGTGTGCTGTCTGGAATGAGTATAATTTACACAATATGATCTTGCATTTGTGAATAATTGAATATTTTGCATGAATTAAATAATGGATGCATTATAGAAAAAAATTAAATAATGTTTAAGTTTGATTGGAATGTTTGGATAAATGAGACCTCATAAGTTGTTAGATCAATAAAATATAATGTTCAAAATATTRGTTTCAGGAAGTGTTAAAATGACATATGAGTTTAATCCCTGATGATGAACTGTTAAGTTCGAAAACGTTCGGTACAAACTAATCAAAATGTTCAGCCTTCTTAATTGTAAAACATATGAGTGTGTAGACAAAATGTCTACTGGCAAAGTTCAAGTTTTATTCATCCAAGCATCTCTTAGAAAAACATCCATTTACACAAAGACTTGACCACTCAAATTGAAATTTTGATCAGAAATTGTGCTTTGATCTTTTGGTGATAGAATACACTATTATTTAGAATATGTCAATGATAATTGGTAACGATATACTATAATTGACTCTTAATGTATTCCAGTCTTGCATTGCACCCAGAGAAAGAGCTTGTAGCCACAGGACAAGTAGGAAAAGAACCTTATATCTGTGTATGGGATTCCAAATCTACAGAAACTGTATCGATACTAAAAGATGCTCATCAAAGGGGAGTCACCTGCCTTGCTTTTAACAATGCTGGAAATGTGAGTGATCAGATGCTGATGTTGATGAGTAATCATTCTGATTATGATGATGATGACATTGCCAATAGTGAAGAAAAATCCTGCAGCACTAGAAAAAAATAATTTAGACTTTCTGCAGTAAATAATATCTAGTAATTTTTTCTACTTCCTTTTTTTCATTTAGTTCATTTCGTTCAATTTTATTTCAAAGTTTATTTGCTCACTTAACATCATAGGAACTTTATAATGCTGTATGATGCTATAACCTCCTTTTATCAAGTACTAAGATTGCTGTATGATGCTATAACCTCCTTTTATCAAGTACTGGGAGATTTTTTTAAAAAATGCAGGAAGGAAATGTGTTCCTGAAGTGTACTCCATATTTTTTTACTAATGACCATCTGCTCTTTAGTATATTTTCAACTTGCTGTTTATCTATTTTTCCAGCTGTTGGTGTCTGTTGGTTTAGAAGACTATCACTTGATCTGTGTATGGAACTGGAAGAAAGGAAAGATTTTGGCTTCTACAAGAGGACATACTGATAGGGTAAGTGATTCAATTGAGTGAATTCAAAATGTAGTGTACCAAAAAGGAGCAGTTTTTCTTTTCATCAAGGATAAAAATGTGAAAGCATTAATATTGAATGAAAGAATGAATGAAAAAATAAGATGATATATTGATTATATTATTGAATTAATGAATGGATGGAAAGATGGTTTAATATGTGGATGGAAGAAAAAAAATTGATTAACTGACTAAAAATTGAGTGAAAATTCTGAAATTAATTGATTGATGGATGTTTTGATGAATTGATAAAAAGCTAAAATGGATTATTGAATGAATGAATGATCAAATGAATGAAAAATTAATGGATTAATAAAAAAACTATTGATTGATTGATTTAATTAAAGTTCTGTTAATTATGGATTCATATTAAAGTCTTCATTCGTCCAGGTGTTTGAATTAAGCTGTTTTTAAGTGACTCTAGTCATGTTTCATGATTAAATCTATATAATGTTATTTTAATCCTGTAGATCTTTGACATCCAGTTCAATCCRTACAATGACAGTTCTATTGTTAGTTGTGGAGTAAAACACATCAAGTTCTGGACTTTACGAGGAAATGCCTTGAATCCGAAGAAAGGTTGGCTTAGCATTATTACCAACAGTTTTAATTGCTGTCATGATTGACGGTTTTGAATGCATATTTCGTGTTCACTTCTTTTATCGATCCATATTTCTTTTTTTTTCTTGGGTTTTCTTTGATTTTTTGTATTCTTTCTAGATCTATTTTATTTTTTTCACTTTTCATGCATCCTTTCATTTCTCAATTCACATCTTCATTCTCACCAGTTTAATAATTTAGTTCTTTTCCCTTCCTTCCTTTATCCCCTTCTTTTCCACTTCCCATCCTTATTTCCTTCTCCCTTTGATCAATGATGTCTGCATAATGTGGATAATATCTCTTGTTGATATTGAATTTCTGTTCTTATGTGGTTGTTATYTCTGTAGGTATATTTGGCAAGGCAGGAGAGATTCAGACAAATTTGTGTCTGGCATTTGGAGCAAATGATGTAACATACTCTGGTACTCTTAGTGGGGAGATCTATAAATGGAAAGGGCAGAATCTAGCAGGATCCATCCCCAGTGCTCATACTGTAAGAGGCATCTCTATTTCATATTTTACATTCTTTATTTATTCCATTCAATTCCAACTCATTCTCTTCCATTTCATTCTATTCTATTCTATGTGATCACATTTTAATCTCTTTCATTTCATTTCATTCTCTTCTCTCTTTCATTTCCTTCTCTTCTTTTCTCTCCAATTTCATTCTATTCCATTTAATTGTGTTTTCCAATTTATTTTTCATTTTTTTCCCAGGGAGCAATCTTTTCCATTCATCAAGGCAATGATGGTTATGCAACTGGATCAAAGGATGGTACATTCATATTATGGGATGCTGACTTCAAGCCATTGGCAAAAATTGACATGACAACTACATCAGTTGGCTATGAAGGTAACAAATTAACCTGGTTTTTTTAGGTTTATCAATAAGAAGTGTTCTTTGTGCTATTTTTTTGTGTGTTAAGATTGTGTTATCATAACCTGTTTTTTAGGTTTATCAATAAGAAGTGTTCTTTGTGGTATTTTTTTGTGTGTTAAGATTGTATTTTCATAACCTGTTTTTCAGGTTTATCAATAAGAAGTGTTTGCTGGCAAGAAGATAAGATTCTAGTAGGAACCAATGCCGGTGAAGTCTTTGAAGTCACAGCAACAAGTAAAGATAAGCCAAAGACTATTGTACAGGTGAGACATAAACATCTCTTATTGAAACTTCATCACTATCATCATTGTCATAATAATCATAATAACTAACATGCCCCAATAATGATGATTTGATGAATGTGCATGCTACTATCTAGCTATTGTTTTATCTTAGATACTTCAGGMTCCCTTAAAGTTCATTTTAATTGATCTACAATAATTTTTTCAGGGTCATGCTGAAGGTGAACTGTGGGCATTGGCCGTGCATCCAAAGAAAGGAATATTCGCAACAGGAAGTGATGATAAGAGTGTGAGGTATGAGCATCACATTATCACTAGATCAAATTAGTCAAACATTGACAGACAATTTCCTTTACAATAGTTCTATGCTGCTTAGAATCTTGTCAGAAAATTTTCCATTGGATGAGTTAAGGTTACTGCTCCCCTTTGCCGGGTGCCACTGTAAAAAAAATCATATCTTTGCTTCATTAAATAATACTCAAGCATATTTTACATTGTTTTGAAGGGGAGCGATAACCTTAATATTCAGTTTGCAACAATTTGTTATAACATGAATCAACATTTTTTTTAACATCTCATAATCATCTTCACACCTTCTTGTAATCTTACTGTTCAATTTTCAACCCAAAATGTTATTAAAAGACACCTTACAACTACCTTACAGTCTTCTTGAGCCATGTTGACATTCTTATACCTTAACATTYTTGCCAAAATACATTAGGTTATGGAGCATGGCTGACAAAAGTTTACTTGCAAGAAATGACTT